GCTTGAGCCACCGCGCCCGGCCGCTATGCTTGTTTTATATGTTCGTTGTGGGAAACTGAATTGGTCAGACTGTGATTATGGTGGGAAATGAAGTTCACTAAACTAATGTACACACCCATGTACAATAGGATAATCTTATCTAAGACCTCATTAACTTTATCTTCTAACTTCACCAGAATATAAGTGGCTTCACTTTTACATGTTATTTAAGACTCCCTATGTGTCTGTTTTTGAAAATAAATTTGGCAATTCAGAAAAGTCATTTCTAAAACACAACGTGAAGTGTTTCTTTGACACTGATAACATTTTTAAGCCCTTATATGTGCCAGATGCTAACATCAATCATTTCATTTAATTGTCACGGCAATGCTACTGTTATTCCCATTTTACAGATGAGAAAACTGAAACCTGAGGTTGAATGACATGCCCAGTAATACAGTGATAGCCCTTGGTGGTGTTGGGATCCAAGCAGCCTGAGTTAGGTCTGCATTCAAGCATTATTCTACACCAAACTGCTTCAACAAATGCAGAAATATAATGTAAATAAAGTGTTGTCACTGATGACTTCATTCTGATGAGATGCAACTCTAAAATAACAAAACAAAAGTTATTATATAACTCTAAATAACACCACACCCACCCAGAATTTATAAAACAACTAAATAAGGACTGCGAAAAAAACAAACCAGGAAGGCGGTGCCCAGGATAGAGTCCATCTTGTTCCTGCCATTCAGACTTTGAAATTTTCTTTGGAAATGCTTTCAAAACCAGTTCAGGAAGGACATGTGGATTGAGCACCTGCTGAGTTCCAGATGCTTTGCATATATTATCTAATTTAATCCCATCAATCCTATTATGTATTTTAATCCTCATGTTACAGATGAGAAAATTGAGTAGCAAAGATATGAAGTCATTTTCCTAACACATGTTAGCTGTCAGGTGGTAGAGCCAGTGATCGTTGATAGTGAGCTAGCCTGACCCAAGAGCAATATTCCTGTGGGCCAGGTGCTGCTTGCTATTGGCCCCTCATAACCCATTCACCTTTCTTCCTTAGGTAACAGATCCCTGACTTTCATCCGGCCATGTGGCTGCCCAGCTAAACACTACATTTCCCTTGCAGCAGCTAGACATGGCCATGTAACTAAATTCTGACCAATGTGACATAAGCTAAAGTGATGTATGTGATTCCCTTTAAGAAAATGTTTCCTCCCACTTTCTCTTTTCCTCTTACTGACTGGAATGAAGGTTTGATGCTGGAGCTAAAGCATCGAAAGCATCTAAAGCAGCTATTTAAGACCATGAAACGGAAATCTTTTGTTAAGAATGGCAGGGCATGCTGTCTAGATACCCAAGCTCCATGGAGCTACCATATCAGCCCTGGGCTGCTTATATGAGAAGGAAAGTTCTCTCTGTTTAAAGGCACTGTTATATTGGCCTTTGTTATGGCTGGTGAACCTACATCCTAATCAAAACCTTTTGACCTGAGAAGATAATAAGCTCCATTCAAATAAGGAAGATTATCAGTTGTGTCTCTACCACCTGGTATCTTGCCTAGCGCATAGTAGGTCCCCTACAAATATTTTAATGAATCCTCAAGATCTTGTGAAGTAGTTGACCATAGAGTAGAAGCCCTTGAAGGGTGGTAGAATATGCCACCTCAAAATATGCCATTTTGGCATAACAATTATTTGAGATAAAGGCATTGGAAAAACAGTAAGTAGGCTGGGTGCAGTGGCTCACGCCTGTAATCCCAGCACTTCAGGAGGCTGAGGCAGGTGGATCACTTGAGGTCAGGAGTTTGAGACCAGCCTGACTAACATGGTGAAACCTTGCCCCTACTAAAAATATAAAAATTAGCTGGGTATGGTGGTGAGCGCCATGTAATCTTAGCTACTTGGGAGGCTGAGGCAGGAGAATTGCTTGAACCCAGGAGACAAAGGTTGCAGTGAGCAGAGATTGTGCCACTGCATTCCAGCCTGGGTGACACAGCCAGACTTCATCTCCAAAAAAAGAAAAAGAAAAACAGTATAAGAAGAGTGCTGTAATCTCCCCCTTTCTTCCTGAAAGCAGGAAACAAAACTCCCATGGGAACAATGCCTTCCTCCAGGAGGAAAGAAGCATTCTCATCACCAGAGACAGGGAGTTGAAGCCAAGAGAAGTCTGTACAAACACACCTTGTTAAAATGTCTCTTATCTTCCTTTAGCCTCCCCATATATTTTATTTTAATTATTTTTTTGGAAACAGTCTCACTCTGTCACCCAGGCTGGAGTGCAATGGCATGATCTTGGCTCACTGCAACCTCTGCCTCCTGGGCTCAAGCAATTCTCCTGCATCAGCCTCCCTAGTAGCTGGGACTACAGGTGTGTGCCACCAAACCTGGCTAATTTTTGTACTTTTTGTAGAGACTGGGTCTCACCATGTTGCCCAAGTTGGTCTCAAACTCCTGGGCTCAAGCGATGCACCCACCTTGGCCTCCCAAAGTGCTAGATTACAGGCATGAGCCCCTGAGCCCGGCCTCCCCATATATTTTAGCTGCTTTTCCACAGTTGCGTCTTTGTTCAACCTAGTATAAAACATTTAGGTTTTCTGTCTTTGGGTCTTCATTGCTTTATGAGGGCTCCTGTGTCACATAAAATTTATATTAAGTAAATCTGTGTGTTTTCTCTTGTTAATCTGTTTTATTTCAATTTAATTCTCTGTCCCAGCCAGAGACCCTAAGAGGGTAGAGGTAAAGTTTTGCCTTCCCTACATTCTCTTATCTGACATTATCAGGAGTGGATTATTTTATTTCAGCTTTAAAATATACATTAAATTTCCATCTGTCAAAATGTGGCCAGGGTCTTTTCTTTGAGGATGGGGCCAGTGATTGGAGTTCCTCATCTTCTTTCTGGTATAAACCTCACCAGTTATATATCACAGCAATTTCCAGTTTGCTTCCTTAAGGCAAAACTTAAAAATTAATGGCATATTTGAAGCAATCTTGAGTGTAGAATTTACATTTTTATGATTATTCCCCCAATTTGTAATAATCTCATTGCTCACATCTAATTCCATAGCAGCTTTGATCTTTTCTTTTGAGACAGAGTCTCACTCTATCACCCAGGCTGTAGTGTAGAGGCATGATCTCAGCTCACTGCAACCTCTGCCTCCTGGATTCAAGTGAATTCTCCTGCTTCAGCCTCCTGAGTAGCTGAGATTATAGGCACACACCACCATACCAGCTAATTTTTTGTATTTTTAATAGAGATGGAGTTTCACTATGTTGGCCAGGCTGGTCTTGAACTTCTGGCCTCAAGTGATCCACCCACCTTGGCCTCCCAAAGCGCTGGGATTACAGGCATAAGCTACCATGCCCAGCCCACAGCAGCTTTTTTTTTTTTTTTTTTTTTTTTTTAATGATTCAGTTCCAATGCATACAGCAGCTTTTTAAGTAACTCTCAGAAATCAGGCACAGTGGCTGATGCCTGTAAACCCAGCACTTTGGGAGGCTGAGGTGGGCAGATCACCTGAGGCCAGGAGTTTGAGACCAGCCTGGCCAATATGGGGAAACCCGGTCTCTACTAAAAATACAAAAATTAGCCGGGTGTGGTGGCATGCACCTGTAATCCCAGCTGTTCGAGAGGCTGAAGCAGGAGAATCACTTGAACCCAAGAGGCGGAGGTTGCAGTGAGCTGAGATCGTGCCACTGCACTCCAGCATGGGCAACAGAGCAAGTTTCTGTCTCAAATAAATAAATAAACAAATTTAAATAAAGTAACTCACAGGCTGGGGACAGTGGCTCACACTGTAATCCTAACATTTTGGGATGCTGAAGTGGGAAGACGGCTTGAGCCCCGAAGTTTGAGACCAGCCTGGGCAACATAGTGAGACCCTGGCTCTATACATTTTTTTTTTTAATTAGCCTAGCATGGTGGTGCGCCTGTAGTCCTAGCAGGAGGCTGAGGTGGGAGGATCACTTGATCCCAGGGGTTGAGGTTGCAGTTAGATGTGATTGTGCCACTGCACACCAGCCTGAGCAACAGAGCGAGGCTCTGTCTCAATAAATAAATAAACTCCCTTATTTCTCCATCACTGGAATAAAAGGAATAAGAACAATAAAGAATAAGTAATTTACCTTAGTTGAGTCTTCTAAGGATCCAACTTAGTTTTTTTTTTTTTTTTTTTGAGACGGAGTTTCACTCTTGTTACCCAGGCTGGAGTGCAATGGCGTGATCTCGGCTCACCGCAACCTCCGCCTCCTTGGTTCAGGCAATTCTCCTGCCTCAGCCTCCTGAGTAGCTGGGATTACAGGCACGCACCACCATGCCCAGCTAATTTTTTGTATTTTTAGTAGAGACGGGGTTTCACCATGTTGACCAGGATGGTCTCGATCTCTTGACCTCATGATCCACCCGCCTCGGCCTCCCAAAGTGCTGGGATTACAGGCTTGAGCCACCGCGCCCGGCCCAACTTAGTTTTTATAGAAACTGTGTTTGTTTTCCCACTCTTAGTTCTCTATTTATTTATTTTTTTTCAAGAAAAAAGATAAGCCTGTAATCCCAGCACTTTGGGAGGCCAAGGCAGTGGATTACGAGGTCAAGAGATCGAGACCATCCTGGTTAACATGGTGAAACCCCGTCTCTACTAAAAATACAAAAAATTAGCTGGGCATGGTGGTGCGTGCCTGTAATCCCAGCTACTCAGGAGGCTGAGGCAGGAGAATTGCCTGAACCCAGGAGGCGGAGGTTGCGGTGAGCCGAGATCGCGCCATTGCACTCCAGCCTGGGTAACATGAGTGAAACTCCGTCTCAAAAAAAAAAAAAGAAAAAAGATAAATTTTCTTTTACATTGAGATGGAGTTCTCACTATGTTGCCCAGGGTGGTCTCAAACTCCTGGGCTCAAGCAATCCTTCTACCTTGGCCTCCCAAAGTGCTAGGATTACAGGGGTGAGTCACCTCGCCTGGCCTGTTCATCAATGTATATAGTATTTAATTAAATTACAAATCACAAGAACACATACAACGGGTATAAACACACTTGGTATTAAATCACAACTGACTCTGAGTAAGTGAGGGCTTAGCTGGGGAGGTGGAACTGCACAGCATTCTAGAAAGTGCTCACTGCCTAGGTGTGAGTCCCAGCTTCTCTACGTACTAGTTATGTGACCTGGGAATTCAGACTACTGAAGCTTTGTGCCCGCTGTTCCTCATTTGTGAAAGGGGATGATAATAGCACGTCATATATCTGTTGTGAGGATTAGAGGAGAATACACTTGTGAAGCACCTAGAATAGGGTGGGGCGTGAGCTAAGTGCTCGGGAAATGGTACATCACATCACTGTTCCTGTGGCTTCTGGAAGGAACTGTCCTACAGGCTACAGGCTAGTCTAGGCCTGCGCCCAGCATCCCCTGTGTTTCACAGAGGAAGTGGGGTGCATCGGTTGGTAAGGTGTATCTTCTGTAGTATTATATCCTCATTTCCCATATGCAGAAATGAGGGTCTGGAGACAGTGACTCCAAAGCTACTTGACCACGAAGTCAGTTTCTAGAACTGCCAGGCTCCTGGCACTTGTGAGATTTGGATCCAGAAAGACAAAGGGAATTTGCCATCCATTTTCCTTTTTTCTTTTACCTAGGGAGTCCAAAAATCCCAAACAGAGCCTCTCAGGGCTGAGCCAGCAAAGCCCTTGGCCAGGCTCCTCAGGAGTCCACTGGATGAGTTATGTTTCACATCCCTGCAGGGTTGAGCAACTGGGAAGAGGCTTGGTCCCCAGGACCCCCTAGTGTGTGTGTGGTGGGCAGGTGCTGCAGAGATGAGGGCTGCGGCTGCAGGGGACATCACAGGATCATGCAGATGCCTGACTCCGTGGGTCTCCTCTGGTGGCTCCTGCTGAGGCTTTCTGTAGGCCACGTGGATGACCTGAAGGAGACAGGGAGGGGCTTGCCTGGGGGTGACTGGGGAGACAGCAGGAGGCAGCCTGCCCTGGCTTCAGCTTTCCTCTGCCCTATTTGGCCCTTACCTCTGGTGGTGGGCTCCAGAGGAGGGAGTTGGCTTAAGCTTCGTATCCCCGCATTCTGCAGCCCCCTGTCTTTCACTGGGGCCTACCATTGGGCCATTCGGGAAGCAGGTCGTACCCCAGGCTCTCAGAGCCGGGTGAAGGTTGTTCACATTGCTAAGGGCAAAGATAAAGTAGGGCTCGGGGTCCTATATCCCAAGCATGAGATCCCCACTTCCCCAACTCCAACAGTGGACATGTTCCTTTAAAATCATCCCAAGGCAGCTGGGCGCGGTGGCTCATGCCTATAATCCCAGAGCTTTGGGAGGCTGAGGCAGGTGGATCACGAGGTCAGGAGTTTGAGACCAGCCTGACCAACATGGTGAAACCCCATCTCTACTAAAAATACAAAAATTAGCTAGGTATGGTGGCAGGTGCTTATAACCCAGCTACCCAGGAGGCTGAGGAAGGAGAATCACTTGAACCCAGGAGACAGAGGTTGCAGTGAGCCGAGATCGCGCCACTGCACTCCAGCCTGGGCGACAGAGCGAGACTCCATCTCAAAAAAAAAAAATTATCCCAAGTCACATCTACTTTCTTTGCTATTCTCCAGGCCTCCTTCTCTCCCCTAAGGACCCGCCTATTGGCTTGAGGGCCATTGGGTACCAGGAAGCTAGGGTTCTCCACTCTGGGAGGGCCCGGACCCACTAATGGAAGTTGGGCCCGGGGTCCTGGACCTAGATGGAGAAGGACAGACACACTCATCACAGGCCTGTGTGCACCAAGAACTGTCGTGGTGGAAAAAAGCTCTGGGAGAAGGACCAGGAGTTGGGGCGGTGTCAGGGGATGCACTGCTCGCTATACATGAGGCTTTGCCAAGGACTGTCCCTCTGCAGGGCGTGTGCTTGGTGAACACGGGGCAAGTAGAAGCTAGACAGTGGGAATGATTCACTGTGCCTGGAGGGAAACAACTGAAAAGGAGACAGGTAAATTCTGGTCAGCTCAACAAGTAGCTCAACAGGAACTCTGCTCCCCGAGTTGCAAGTTTTTGTGGGAAAGAGACTAGTGAGTAGCAGGCTGGAGTAAGAACAGCACCTGGTGCCGTGTTGGGCATGTAGTAGGCCTTCAACAAAACCTTGGTGCTCCAAGATGCAAAGTTCTAGAAGTTAGGAAAGCCATGAGAGCAGGAAGGAAGAGGCAGTTCTGGAAAGGTTCAGGGAAAACGGTCCAGGGCCTTGAGAGACAAGCGGAAATCAGGGGAGGCCTGTTTGGGAGTTGTGAGCTGGGACAGTCAGGGTCAGGGGTGGTGCCAGGCCTCAGAGAAGAGACAACAGGAAGGGGGGATGGTGGGATGGGCATAAGCAGCAGGTGGGGATGGGAGTGCCACGCTTGCAGTGAGGAGAGGCACTGCCAGGAATAGCCTGCGTCAACTCATGCTCCAGTCTCCCCGGCCGAGCCCTCGTGGGAACGTTTGCCGACCTCTCCTCTTTCTTCTCCTGGTGGCCCTCTTCAAACTCTTCGTCTTCCCATCCACTGGAAGATCTGTAGGGGCAGGGAACCAGGGCACAGCTGGGCAGAGCGACACCAGTCCCCTCCTCCCTGGGGGTACCCATGGGGTCCTACCCCACTGTGAAGCCCCCAACACCCTGCAGAGGCTGCACGCATCCTTGCTGCACCGCCCGGCCCTCACCTGTGCTGGGCACCTGCTGCGCTGCTTCCTGCCTTTGCTGAGGTCACCTCCACTTGGCTGGCCCCACCTGGAGCCTGGGGTCTTCCTGGAGCTGAGATCTGGGAATGAAAGGGAGTAAAGGGAATAGGTCTGAAAAAAAGGCCATTCGAGCTATGTGGTTGCTCCCTCCAGAGACTTATGTGATAGAGACAATTCCAGCTGTGCCGCTTGTCTCTGAGAATATAATTCTGGAGTGAGGCTCTTTGTTCTATTAAGGTTCCTGCTAGTAACGCTCAAGCTTGGATTCAGACTTAGGGACTAGCAGACCTGGCCAGAGTCTGGCGACCACACCATCCCATCTGGGGACTCACATGGGAAAGTCACAGAAAGTCAGTGGCAGACATTGGCTGGGACCCAGGTAATCTGACCCCTCAATCCAATCCTCTGCCTATACCAGGCTAATTTAATTTTGCTTGCATATTTTAAATATGGTGTCTTTAAATATGGTCTTTAAAATGCAAGGGTATAAAACCTATTAAATACATAAAATATTAAAGTATAATTTCAATTCCTGGAGTGGGAAGAGGTTTTCTGGGGTTGTCTCAAAATGTGAAGGAGGAGGCGGTTGGAGAGACAACGAATTGTTTAAAGAAACCTGGAGGTGGAAACAGGTTAAAGCAGAGACCGGGAAGGAGGAACACGGTGGAGACCCACGGAGAAATGACCCCAGAGACCTGAAGACGGGAGAGAGGGACTTTCTTGGAGCACATCTCCATCATGTGGCCATTTAGGGAACTGCAGTCAAGGACTTGAAACTTGAATCACTTACACATCACATAGGAAGCTTAGGATCCTTGATTGCACCCCCTAGCCTTCACCCAAAAGGCTTGTTACCGCTCAGCCAAAGCCCTGGAACAGCCCTTCTGTCGAAGACGTGCCAAAACCCCCCACCCACGTCCCACCCCTGGAAAGTGATACATCATGTGTAGGCTCAGGGCGGATGAACACAGATGAGCGGCCAAGCGCGCAGCATCCCAGGGAACATCGGCTCTGCTCGCCACCAACCCCTTCTCTGGGTAGCCTCTCTCCACCCCCATCTCCTTGTCTCAGGCGTCATCTCACCAGGGTGTGTCTGGACCAGCCCTACCTGTGCCAAGTGCATCCTCACGGCGTCTGCCAGCTTGGCCACCAGCCGTTCTCGCACGGAATCTGGCTCCTTCTGGGAAGAGGGTGGATATAGGGTAATGGGGAATGCCTGGACTTTGTGGTCCTCTAGGGGCTGGGGAAGAAGGAAACAGGGAAAGGAGGAGGGAGGGAGGCTTTGTTTCCCCTCTTCCACCCATCCCCATGCCTTTTCCAGGATCCTGCCACCACCTGCCCAGAACTGTGGACAGTGATGGATTCTTTCTCACAATAGTATCCCAAGACCTAGCACACTGTGTCCAGTGCATGTTTGATGACTGAATGAGTGGTGGGTAGAAGACAAGGAGTGAAGCCAGGAATGTCAGCTGCGGATAGCAGGGGAGAGGTGGAATTGGGATGAAGGGTCTCACCTGACACTGGGCCAGTGCTTCCTTATAGTACTTCACGGCCTGGTCGTACTGCCCCAGCCTGGCTGCAGCAGCCCCCAGACCCTCACAGGCCTGCCACTGTCCCTTCATGTCCCCTGAGAAAGACAGCTTGGAAGGTCCTTTCATGGCTCCCTACCCCACTGACCTGCCCCCCAGAGGCACTCCCTACCTTCATTTCCCCCCATCTACCTCCCCACCAGCCCCTAGGACCCTCAGCCTTCCCCACTGCCCCAGTCACATCCCACCCCCTCACCCTTACCAGAGTCACGGGCAGCCTGCAGGGCATGCAGGTAGTTGTCTCTGGCGGCCTTGTGGTCCCCCAGCTGGCTCATTGCAAATGCCAGGCTGCCAAAGCTCCGGCCCTGCTCCCACCGCTGCCCCACAGAGCCTGATGGCAGAGCCCACCCCATCCTCAGAGGGGACTCTGGCTGTTGGGACATCAGGACCCCGCCCCCCAGCAACCAAGACAGAGCTCCCAGGAGGCCCGGTGCCCAGCCCCAGCACACCTCCAGATGTACCCAAGAGGCCTGAGCCTTCCGCACTGGGTTCTGGTCTGAGCGCCTCCACCTGGCTCGTTTGAGTCAGGCAACAACCTGAGATGCAGGCAAGGCAGGTGTTCATGGTCCTGTTTCTGTAAGTGTGGAAACTGAGGCTAGGAGAGTGAAAATGATTCCTGAATGTCACCTGTCAAGGCAGGTGTTCATGGTCCTGTTTCTGTAAGTGTGGAAACTGAGGCTCAGAGAGTGAAAATGAGTCCTGAATGTCACCTGTCAAGGCAGGTGTTAATGGTCCCGTTTTTGTAAGTGTGGAGACTGAAGCTTGGAGAGTGAAAGTGAGTCCTGAATGTCACCTGTCAAGGCAGGTGTTAATGGTCCAGTTTTTGTAAGTGTGGAAACTGAAGCTTGGAGAGTGAAAGTGATTGCTGAATGTCACACAGTCAGCGGAGAGGCTGGACTCCGCTTCAGGCCTCCTCTCCCAGCCAATACCCTTCCCCTGCCCACTGCTGCCTTCCCAAACCTGAGGCCTTGGCCTCTGGGCCCACAACCCTCTGTCCTGTCTGGCTGTCCCATCTCCTGCACTCCCAGCTCTCCCCCACTGCTTCTAGGCTTTCAGGCTCCATAAGTGGTCCCAAAGGGCCATCTACCCTTAAGCCTTGGGGCCCCTGCTGGAACTACTTCCTAAGGTCTTGGTCCCAGTCCCATTCCCTGGCCCCGGGCACCCACCATGCAGGTCAGCAGCCTTCTGGTGAAACTCCTGAGCTTCCCGATAGTTGCCAAGGGCGTTGTGGGCCATCCCGAGGTTTCTTAGCACCGTGGCCTGCTCTCCTGGCACCGAGCACAGGGGCAGGGCCTGCAGGAAGGCCTCCACAGCCAGCGGGAACAGCTGGAGCTCGGAGTAGCCCAGGCCTAGATCATTATAGAGGTGCCCTAGAGGGCATAGCCAGGGTCACTGGTAGCCAGACCAGATACAAATAAGGCTGTACTGGTCTAGCCCTTCTCCACTCCTCCGGGGCCCCCCTCAACCCAGCCCTCAGAGTATCACCAGGCTCTGGGTCTCCCCAGATCCCACACCTTCCCTGCCTGAAGGTCTCACCCAGCAGTGTCTTCTCAGTGCTCGTCTCTGCAAGCCTCCGGCTTTTCTCCAGCATCTTCACAACTTCCCCTACCCCATGCCGCCCACTCTTCAGCATACATCCTGCCGCAGCCCCCAGTGCCAGGGCTGCAGCCCGCGGCTGCCTCTCTTGGGCATAGGCCCGGCTTGCTTCCTGCAGGCAGTGGGCTGCTAGCTCAGGCTGTCCCAGAGCCTCGTAGCAGGCTCCCATTTTCGCCCAGGCTTCTCCCTGGTCACCCTGTGGCTGGTAGTGGCCCACGGCCCTGTGGTACCAGGCCAAAGCTTGAGGCAGCTCACCGAGGGCATGGTAGGCCAAAGCCACGTTGAAACACTGGTCGCCATGATGCCTGCCCTGTGCCTTCTCTTCAGGCTGAGCTTGCAGGAGCAGCTCGAGGCCTCTGGCTGGGTCCCCCGTCTCCACATAGGCAGCCCCCAGGTTGAAGGCGCAGGCCTGGAGCACAGGGGTGTCCCTGGTTTGTGGGGCCTTGGAGGCCAGAAGGAAGGCCTTCTGGAAGTTGGTCAAGGCCTCATGGTTCCGGCCAGCCTGAAGGGCGCCATGGCCAGCCTCGGTGAGGGCTTGGATGCTGGCTTCCTGCTGCAGCCACTTTCTTTTCTTCTTTTTCTTATTGGAGCCTGAGGGCTCGGGCTCAGGCCTCTGGGGCACATCCTCAGGGCTGGGGGAAGACATAGGGCTGACAAAGGGGAACAGAGGGGTCAGCATGTCAGCCTCGTCTTCCTCTAGAGCAGGACTCCCTTAGGTGAATTCAGCTCTACCCCTGCCCTAGCATGACCCTCCGGGTTTCAAGGATTTCTCTCTGACCGCTTGCTTTGCTTCTTCTGTCCCACTGGGCACCATATCCACACTCACTCTAATGTCCTGACTAATTCTTAGTCCTCCTTCAAGACTCAGCTCAAGTAACAGCTTCCTTCAGAATGCACCTTCTTCTCAACCAACTGGGTACTCCACTGGCACTGGATGCCTGTGCCTTTTATAGCACTTATCACACTGGGTCAGAGTTGCTGACTTTCTTGTCTTTCCCCCCACTACTAGACATGGAGCATCTTGCAGGGTCTGGCACATAGTAGATAATCAGTAAATGTTTATGGAAGGAGATGAAAACGTTCTGGAGATGGATGGTTGTGTTGATTGCACAATAACGTGAGTGTACTTAATGCCAGCAAACTGCTCATGTTAATATGGTTAAAATGGTAAACTGTATGTTATGTATATGTTACCACAAATCAAATGTTTTTGGAATGAACAAATAGGCGGGGCACAGTGGCTCACACCTGTAATCCCAGCACTTTGAGAGGCCAAGATGGGCAGATCACCTGAGGTCAGGAGTTCGAGACCACCCTGGCCAACATGGCAAAACCCCATCTCTACTAAAAATACAAAAATTAGCCAGACGTGGTGGCATGTGCCTGTAGTCCCAGCTACTCGGGAGGCTGAGGCAGAAGAATTGCTTGAATCTGGAGGTGGAGGTTGCAGTGAGCTGAGATCGTGCCATTGCACTCCAACCTGGGCAACAAGAGTGAAACTCTGTCTCAAAACACACACACACACACACACACACACACACACACACACACACACACA